CACTACAACAAAAAGCAGATTTCGCGACTAAAACGGGATTTTTTGTCGCTAAAAGTAGTAGAATTGGCGACTAAAATGGAATTAGTCGCCAAAATTGATCACTTTTGCCGACTAAAAGAGTTTAGTCGCTGAATATAAGGGTTTTAGCGACTAAAAGTCAGTTTAGTCGCCGAATATAGGGGTTTTAGCGACTAAAGGTTTTTTGGTAGCTAAAAGTGACAGTTTTTGGCGACTAAAATAATTTAGTAGCCAAAAGTATACGTTTTGGCGACTAAAAAACAGTTTGGTCGCTGAAAGTGAAGCTTTTTGGCTACTAAAAAAAATTAGTAGCTAAAAACAGTCAATTGGCGACTAAAATTTAGTTTAGTAGCCAAAAGGGGACGTTTTTGGCGACTAAAAACAGGTTTAGTCGCCAAAACTGGTTTTTTTAGGCGGGAATGAATTTTTTTAGCGACTAAAAACTAATTAGTAGCCAAAACTATACAATTGGCGACTAAAAAATAGATTTAGTCGCCAAAAGTGATCTAATTTTTTTTTTAGTAAATAATTTATTTTTTACATAAATTATATTGAATAAAAATAATTATTTTTATATATATAGTTTTATATAAATACCGGTCAAAGTAATATATAAATAATATATGTTGCAATTATATTCATGTGATGTTATAGTGGCATAGTGGGGAGAGTGTGTTGGTAAAGGTTTGGAATGTGAGATGGGTCGGAGGTTCAAATCTTGAGAACAGCAGAGGGTAAATTTTTTTTTCCTGAAATATGCTTTTGGCGACTAAAAACAATGGACGCCAAAAGATTGACTATTGGCGACGAAAAGCTTAGTCAGCAAATGTATAAATTAAAAAAAAAATAATTCACGATTGGCGACTAAAAGATTAGTCACTAAATGTATAATTTTCAAAAATGTAATTGACTATTGGCGACAAATTCTTTGGTCGCTGAAGACTAAAACTTTGCCGACTAAAATTTTTTTAGTCGCCAATACCTCTGCCGACCATCTATTCGCAACAAAACCGGCGACTAAAATATTTAGTCGGGGAAAGTGAAAAGTCGACTTTTGGCGACTAAAAATTTAGTCGTCAAAGGTGTTTTTTCTTGTAGTGGTAGAGTGATCATCAAAATGTCCCTGATCAAGAAGGGTTCTAATTATGATCAACACTGGACTTTAATTAGTATTATAATTAATGAATATAATCTCTCAATTAACTTTATTCTCCACTTGAAATTTTTCGAGTTGAGGTGCCTAGAAAAGTATTAACAAAATGAAAGGTCATTTGCATCCAATTAAATCCTTAATTACTGCAATTTGATCATAAAACAAAATTCTCATTGCATCGGATTCCACTTAATTACAAAGCATACGATTAATTAAGAAATATGCTTTACGCTAACTCTAAGCTAACGTTTCTTAGAGTTTTAAGAGGCAATGCTTAGGTTTAGGTTTAGGTTTATATGATAATGTATTTTGCCAAAGTGACTCTAAAAGTTGTCTGTTGATTGTGATTTTGCTTGGAATTGTGCAAATGCAAGCACTAAGTTTTACAAAGAATGGTTTATCCCGGGATTGCGAATAGATTATCAATTATTTGTTACTCGCTAAAAAGTTTAGGATTCTTTTCATTTTAATTATTGCATAATTAACCAATACATGTTTTATAACTTTGTGAACTATATATGACAGTGTTTGCAAAATACTCAGTTTGCTACCACATTGATTCTGTGAAATATGAAGATTTTGTCAAATTTAGTAGAAGGACCTCAGTTTACCAATTGAAAATATGAAAATATAATCATTCTGACATTATTAAAATTAAAAACAAGTGTGCATGAATTATTTTGATAAGAAGTGCATGAATAATTAATAAGAGACTAAGATTCAAATAAGGGTTGACCAAGTTTTCCTGTGTCATTTTACTATAATACATAATTGTTTTGGGGATCAAAGTTCTTCATTCAAAAAAAATTAATTTATTATAAAAAATTATATATTAGACCAATTTCAGTTGTCATGTGAGATGTCACCAAAAGTTTAAAAACAATGACCTTTAGCTATATAATTTTGAAAATGTAGTTAATAAATGTATTTTTAAAAACAAAATAATTTTGTATCAAAAAGTTTACTTTTTAAAGCTAAAATTTTGGTCCCAAACAAATAGTAAATGTCCAATTTTGTCATTAAATTTGGTAATTAAAATATTTGTCTTAAATAATTTCGTCCCTAACCTTAATTTGTTGTAGTGTTCAGTGGAGGTGTTGGTGGGGATGGTGGCGGTAGTGTCTTGGCGCGCTATTGAGATTTTTAATTTAAAAAAATGTTTTTACATTTCAAAGTAAAAACAAACATTTTCCATCCAAAAAAAATCAATTTATCATTGAAAAAATATTTTTCGCCAATTTTCATCATGTCAAAAACAAAAATAAATATATATAAATAATTTTTAAACTAACATTTTTTACCAAAACAAACATAGGGTTAGTACTATCTGCATACAGTTCTCTAGGTAGTAGTTTTCTCTTTAAATTATACTGTACTACTTTATATGTCATCATTCTCAATTAAGATAATGATATCTTATCTTTTACTAAGGAGTGGTATGGGATGATCTAAATAAGTATATTTTTTTATTTTTTATGAAATATGAGTTGGGTATAGATTGGATTTGGAGTGATGTGATAAAGAGATGATGTGTTGATGTGATTTAAATAGAATAGTGACTTTTTAACTTTTTTAAGTTATGATAAATAAAAATTAATTTTTATTTGTTTTTAGATAAGAAACTAAGTTTTATTAAATAAATAAAATAAAAGAGACCCATCTCATAGATATCATGACTAACATTAAACTAATTTTACCGGTATCATTGATGACATTGTCGGATAATGATTGGTACCGAATACACATCTTTGGAAATATTTTAACATTAACCTTAAAATAATCAGCTCGAATTGTATTTTCCACCGATTTTACAAACTTGGGCCAGCCCAATTTTCAAATTGGACCAAGGATGTACTGAGGACTTCTTCCTCTTATATTATTATTATTATTTTGCTCTTATTTCGGTGAAAATATTTTTCATTAAAAAAACATTTTCTAGGGTAGTGACGGTAGTGGTAGTAGTGTGGTGGTGGTGGTGGTGGTGGTGGTGGTGATGGAATGGAGGTGGTAGTAGTAGTGGTAGTGGTGGTGGTGATGTGTGGTCGTAACTATGGTTATGGTGGTGTGGTGATGGAGATGTGATAATGTGATAGCGTTGATAAAATTATTTTTCACCTCTCAAAAATGAAAAGCATTTTTCATTCAAATAAATTTATTTTTCTTTGATTATAAAAAACAAAATAAAAATCATTATTTTTTATTTTTTATTATACCAAATATTGAAAAATACAAAAACGCATGCTTTCTGTCCAAATAAACCGAGCGTTGGATTCGTGCGGGCTATATATCACATTGCTCCTAGTGCTATAAATACAAAATTAACAATCACAAGGAAGACTTTTCCTAGAAGCCGAAAAGTAACTCATTAGTCCATTATTTTACTATCTTTAAGGGCTAAGAAATCAAAGTGCTTGCCATGTGAATCAATCCAATAATATTGTTGCAAAATGTGTATCTGAACAAAGATGAGGCTCCAAATGGAGCTTTGGGCTTTCAGCCCTCTCAGAGGTCAAGAGGGCCAGTTCTCATATTAAGAAAGTGAAGACTTTAAAATTTTGTTTTAGTACAAGGTCTTTTTTTTCTTTTTTCTTTTTTTTTAATAGGAATTGTTTTAATATTAGGTTAGTTTATTCCTATACATAAAAAATTATTTAGTATTTTCGGAACATCACGCCACGTGATTGTGTGTCAAACTAAAATTATTTTATTTGTTTAAATTTATGTTCATTATATTATTTAGTAATCTTAAAATAAATTATTTGATTCAATCTTAGTCTAATGTGTAATTGTCAACACTATCTTTTAATTGAAAAAATACCCAATTCATCTCTTAACTTTGATACCAAGGTTCTAAATCAATGATCCAACAAGTTTTCTAATAAATGCCTTGAGAGATTGAAAGATCAGTTAAATTTGGCAAATTAGGTTGTCAATCAAAGTCCGTCGCAACATCGTCATGAATTAATTGCGAGAATGCTTAAGAAAATCGTAATCTATTTCCATGAGGTTCTCTTGTCTACATCACACTTTATGGCACACATTAGACCTTGTCACTATGAAAATGTAACCATAAAATTATAAAAAAAAAAAGGCTCATAAAGACTTCTTCAAATGATTGAGGTCATACATAAGAAACCGGAAGGGAAAATATTCCAAATTATTTTGGCCAAGTCATAATTAGACATTTAAAATGTTTAATTTAGATGTACACGTAACTAATGCATAGTATTATGTTAACGTGGGGAGTTAGTATACTAACAAAAGTGATTAATTGAAAAAAAAAATATTAAGAACTCGTCTAGTAAATTAAGTACCCCTTCACCCAACTCAACATTTTGGTCAATGGAGGAGATGGGTGAGGAGTTCCCGAGACTTAATCTTAAACTGATAAGCATTACTTGATTTAATTGTTACGAACTTTAACCATTGCACCAATTGTGTTGGTCTACAAGACCGGATTTCAAAATAATCACCATCTTTTAACACATTAATCGAGGTTAATTATCTCATCCCGAGCTAATGAGGATGACTTGATCTAAAAGGTTAGGTGTTTTTACCATTGCGCGCACCCAGTCATGTTGCTCTACAAGTCTCAATTTCAAGATAATCACCATTTTTTAACACATTAATCAAGTTTAATTACCCACATCACTGTTCACACCTATTTCTGTTAAACACTGACAACAGGTGGTCCAGTTAATTGAGGACACGTGGCCAGAGTGGATGTGCAAAAAAAAAAATAGTAAACATGACACAAATTGCAGATCACCAGGAAACATTTTAATTACTAAAAGTAAAAACAAACAAGAAGATCACGAGAGAGAAGCAATATATAACAATATGTAGTGATGTATATATTCATTAGACTGTGGTATTTTTACAAAATATCAAGTAATTATAAACTAAAATAGTAAATAAATGTAAAACAGTAACCTTTTCCTCTGTTTCTTTCTTGTTAATAATAACGAACTATAATTTAATTATCTTGAGCATAGAAATCAATAATCTCTTTGAGATTGAGATTCAACAATGAAGAACAATCATTGTGCATCAACCACAACATGTGTTCAAACAAAATAGCATCAACATCAACAAAAATCACTCTCTTCTCACCATTAATCATTCCTTTCTTGTTATTCCTCCGCATGTCAATCAAAACTTTAAATGGTTGTTCTTCTAATACAATTGGATCAACCACAAATTCTCTTCTCTCCTTACCCACCACAACGGTCACCGGTTCATAGGATTCTCCAAAAACATCGTCGGAGAGTTGTCGGTAGCCTAGCCGTGACCCCGAACACCGCCTTTTTAGAATTGCAACCGGCAGAACTAAGCAGGCCATTGGGGGATTTTTTCTGGGAAAAGTGTGAAATTTCTCAGAAAATGGTTAGTTGATCATGAAAGGTTTGTGGGTGGAATTGGGATTGTTTGGTTGGAGAGAAGGTGGAGGATGTATGTTGTATGAAGGGAAGAGATTGTTGGGTTGTGATTGAATTGGGTTTCCAACGGATAAACAAAGGTATAAATGCAAGAACGAAAAGTATTTATGTGTCTTAGTGTTTGTGTGGATGTGCGTTTACATTTTATATGATTTTTGCTGGAAAGAGAGCCTCTTTGCTGGAAAGAGAGCCGTTGGAGAGAGAGAGAGAGAAGGATCATGGAAAAGGAGGGATTGGAAGGAGACAAAGGGGTGAAGCGCGTGAGAGCCTGAGGTAATTAGAAAAGTACTGTTTTTTTTGGTCTGGTTCATTTGACTTGTTCACACTTTACAGGTAAGTTTTGGATCACAGTATGTGGTGTTATGAGAAGACAGTAAAATGTTAATTTTTTGGTTTTTTATAATTTTTTTAATGTAAAAAAATAAATAAGTGATATAATTCAAAAAAATTAAAAAATCAAAAAATTAAGGCTATGTTTGTTTGTATTTTCAAATTAACTTTCAACACGTGAACTCCCGCTTCACATTTGGATAGGACATTCAAAATATAATTCCGCGTGTTAATTCAAATTACAGTTTGAAAACCCGTTTGGCAGCTTGTACTTCAGTTCTCCACTTTTAACGTTTCTGTCTTCTTCCTCTTTTGATCTGAAAAGCTTCCATGTCCTTCTCCATTGTCTTTGAAAATTTCACGTGAGCCTCATCTTTCTTTCTCTTTTGATCTGAAAAGCTTCTATGTCCTTCTCCATCGTTTCTGAAAATTTAACGTGAACCTCATATTTCTTCTCTGTATCACGTGAACATCATATTTCTTCTCTGAAAAGCTTCCACTGAGTGGGAATTTGTGTGAAATGGGATGACCGGCCAGTTGATCGCCCGGTTGTCCCGGTCCGACTTCCTGGTGTTAGACTATCTGAAGCTACTCTAAAAGTTTAGGTTGTTTTTTATTTTTATTTTTTACTTTTTATTTCTTATCTTTTATTTTTTTATAATATTAATAATTTTTTAATAATATTACATCCGTATACTGAACAAATACTGAACAATCTGTTACGACTTTATTACTAAATTAATAACGTGTAATAAATGAGAAAAAAAATTGATAATGTTTTGCAAGGTTTATGTTATGATTTCTATTTTAAAATATTAAACTTAGTGTATTTATGTTAATTTTTATTAATATGTATTCTCAAAAGTTGTTGACTTTAACAAAATTTTAGAAAAAAATAAAAAACGTATTGTAGAAGATGTTTGTACAAGCGTAAAAAATGAATTGATAGAAAATTTAATTGACACAAAATAATTAACATAGATTTATTTTAAAATGAAAAAAAAAATTTAAAAAAAAATTATTCAAAAAAAATTACTGAAAAAAAATTAATTGAAAAAAAAATTAATTTTTAATTTCAGTATTTTTAAAATAGTTTGGTTATTACTGTTGATAAAAAATACGGATATCGATATATGAGTTGTGTGTTTGATTATAAATTATTGATTGAATTAAGTTTTGAAAACCATTTCCAAAACACTAAACACATCACCAAACAAATTTCTTATTTTACATGTCACATCAAACTTTCAAAACTTAATTCAAAATACATCTTCAAAACACATTTCAACACTCTATTTAAAAACCATAACCAAACAAATTTTTTATACTCAAATCATAATTCCACAACACATAAACTCAAAATACAACTCATACTCTCAAATCACATTTACAAAACTCTACCAAACGTTACCTAACTTTTTATCAATTTGCCGGAAAGTCCTATATATCAATGGAAAACACTTCAATGAGCCCTGGCATATCATGTGTATGTATTTTTATTATATAATTTTGCGAAATGAGTCGTATATTTTTATGAGATAATTTATGTAAGTTTGTAAAAATTTATGTGATTTTGTGAAATTTAAAATTTTAATGAATAATTTATATGAATTTTTGTTCAACTTACAAATTTTTATAAGACCAGTTATGTAAGTTCGTAAAAGTTTAAATAATTTTGTGAATTGTGCATGTGGTGGTATGTAAGGTTGCACACCCAAACAATACAGCTTAACAATACAGCTTATATTTTTTTGTAAGTCAAAAATCAATTTATTCTTTGAGTGGGGGAGGAGAAACTTAATTTATAAGTCAAAAATCAACTTATGTTCACGGCTATAAGTTATAAGCTGTTAGGCTATAAGTTATAATCATTTCCCACAGATTTACCAAACGGAGCCTATGTAAGGTTGCGCACCCAAACACTTAACATCAAAATTTATCAAATATCTCATATGAATGTGAGTCTCACACTCATGTAAAACATTTGATAGAAATTTTAATAAACCTATTTTCCCTTATCATATAAAACCTTAATCATTCATGTGTATTTTGTGCCCTATTATGTGATCAGTTTCTCTTCGCTGTGCATATTCACTAGTGCAATTCAAGTATTTGGGTTCTATGTAGGCTTTCATTATGGATTCTTTTATTTTTTGTCTGAATTATTTATGAAAAAAATTATATTGATTTAATAATTATAATTTTATCACCTTTGTATTTTAAAAAATAAATAATGGCAAATATGACTTTTAAAATAGGCAGTTTATTTTTTTAAGATAAATATTATGAAATCATAAATGTCAATATCGAATCAATTTAATTTTTTTTATACATTACCTACATATGTGGGACTTACAAAATAAACTAATCAAATCATCAAAATATAAATCGTAATTAACACACAGACCCCAACTGCACAAAAATAAATTTGTTCACATATTTTTGAAATATCAACAATACACAAATTCTAGTTAGTCCAAGACAATAGACCCTATATACATAATATATATTGATCTCACCAAAAGTTGTAAATTTTACTATTTTTCGGTAATCTGAAAGTATTTATTCTTCCCATACTAAAATCAAACTCCTAATTGCACTCAATAGTCCACACAATAAACTAAAGTGAAGCCATCTTTTAAGTTTTATGATGTGGACTCTTTTGTCTTTAAATTATTTTATCTTCAAATATTTTTGTTGATATATTTTAATAAGTTTTTAAATATTAAATTATGTATGAAAATTGACAAAATTTTCACCTAATCTGATTTTTAACTTTTTTGAAGTGGAGTTTCGATCAATAATCCCAACTAATTGGAGAGATTGAGATCGGACTTAAGTAATAATACACTTTATAAAATAAATATCATAAAAAGTTAATCTAAGTATAATTATATAATATACAATAAAACACTATAAACTAATTTAATAAAAAAAAAATTTCATAAAAAAAAATTTAATATTTTTTTTTTTTCATAAAACCTAACACCCAAATCATATCCCCAGGCGCGTATCAAGCAGACCTCTTCTGCCGACTTCTCCCTCTGTGAGCTCCGCTCTCTCCGTCACAATTGAAAGCGACCCCATATGATTTGTTCAAATTTAGGTAATGACAGCGACTCCTAAAAAATATAATTCTTACAGATACAGTGGTGTTTGAGAAATTGGTAAAAAGTTAATTTTTTAGTTTTTTTTAATTTATTTTATCTTTTAATGAGTAAAAAATATGAGGTGATGTGAATCAAAATAGGTAAAAAGTCTTTACCTCCTTGCCAAAGCACCCCACAATTCTTAAAATGATTCAAATCATTCACAATTTCTAAAAAAAAATTCTAACATGTCAATAATTAATACATCAGTGAGGTCATAAGAATCCTCCTTAGTGGAATCCCCAACATTTTCCTTCAAATTTTATAGTCTTGTTTTGTCATTCTTACAATTTTATATGTAAAAATCTTATGGGTAAATTTTACTCATCTTCTTTCATATTTAGAAAAAATAAATTTTAAGGAAATTTTATAACACACATTTCTTAAAATGAATATATTATATGTACCTTATTATATATTTTTATGGTGTATGTGCATTTTTGTGGTAAATATAATATAATTTTATGGTAGAATTACAGTAATTTATATTTAAAAAATGAAATTACGCATTTTATAGTAATGTTATGTATTTTAGTAATAATGTTACAGATTTTGTGATTAGAAAAAGTTTGCATAAAAAAATGTGCAATATTACCACAAAATATGTAACTCTATTTCTTAATCATAAATTGTCGTAGCTCTACCAAAAACAATACGTAATATTTGTTGTGAAAATGTGTAACATGTAGCACAAAAATACGAAACATGGTGGATATAATATATATCTTTTTAGCGGTGTATACTATAGCATGACCCTTTATCTATACTTTTAATATAATTACACTAATAAGTTTAAATTAATTGAAATTAATGCAGATAACGGGTAGACACCGAAATAAATAAAGATAAATATACATTTTAGTATAAAAGAGATGACAACATTATTTTTTATTCATACGACTAATGAATTACTGGTAAAAAATGAGTTAAGTGTCATATAAACTAAAATAGAAAGAGAGAGAGAGAGAGTAGTATAATTATGTTAAAAGTGTAGGACTAAATTATATTTTCTACAAACCTTTAGACATATAGAGTATGATTTACACAAAGGAAAATGTTATAGACCCCAAACAAATTACCAAATAAATTACTAAACCTCTTACATGGGTGTGGGACCCACACACATGTGATTTGTGTGGGTCCCACACCCATGTGAGAGGTTTGATAATTTATTTGGGATCCCTAACATAACTCTTACACAAATCTTATTGTTAAACTGATTAGGGGTTGTATTAATAAACAATATTTAAAATTAGATATTTGTAAAAATTATGACAAGTCATAAGTGCGAAAATATTAGAAATAGTTTTAGAGTAATGCTAGGGACACCAAATTTTCTACCAAACAAATGACCAAATGTCTCACATGGGTGTGGGGTCCGCAATTTTGTGGGCCCCACACCCATGTGAGACATTTGGTCATTTATTTGGTAGAAAATTTGGGACCTCTAGCATTTTCCATAGTTTTATACTAAAAGTTAGATGTGCAATTCACTATGTCCCGTGTTTAATGAGAATTCACATTATCCCAACTTAAATTTTTTTTTTAAAAAAAAATGACCCATTGAAGTTGGTGGATGGAAAAGTAACAAAAGTCAAGTCTCGTGAATGAAAAAAAAATATATAAAAAAGTCAAGTTACTAATATTACATATATAAAAAAAATTATTTAAAATTTTATTTTAAAAAATTAGGATAAATTACAAACACATCCACTGAGGTTTACTTAAATCACAAATTATCCCTTGTAGTTCTAAAAATTACATTATGCCTCTAAAGTTTTTAATTTCATAACAAATAGATCATTTTATTAATAAATCATCAAGTTAATTAACAATTTTTAATAATGTTAAAATTTTATTTCAATTAATAATTTAGATAATTTTATTGTTGTATAGGTGAACAGTTAAAAATTTCACTTTTTCGATTAATTCTGTTAAATAAAAAATTCTGACAATGAGATAATTGTAATTTTCTAAATCACATGAGACAATTCATATTTTAAACAAAACTCAAGGGGGTGTATTTATAATTTATTCAAAAAATTAACAGTATATATTCATTATATGTAATGATTTGATTAGTTTTAAATATAGGCCTAGTTTGGGAAGACTAAATAAGTGCACTTTTTGACTTTTTATGAAATATGGGATGGGTTGGGTTTGGGTTGGGTTTGAAATGATGTGTTAGAGAGGTAATGTGACTTAAATAAGATGATGTGACTTAAATATGATAGTAACTTTTTAACTTTTTGTCTTTTTTCAATCATGCCAAACTTGACCTATATATATTTATATAGCACACTCAAGGATGGAGAGGAGGCAATGTCCCCCAACGATTTCAAAAATACATTTTATTACAGTAGTATTAGCTGTAACTATTTACAAATTATAGATATTCACCATCCTTAAGTTTTTCTTCTTTCACAAATTTTAAGGATCATCCTGTTTAGATTTTTTTTTTTTTTTTAAAAAAAAAAGTTTAAATGACTATCATTTTATATTTATGAAATATGTGATCAAAATATAAAATTCAAAAAAAAAAATGAACAATATATAATAAAAGAAATTAATTTCTTATATAACTAGTGTTGATAACAACTTATAGTCGGTAAAGAATAAAACAAGGTATAGTTAATTATTTAATCACATTAATAAAAATAAATATTATAATTCATTTTTTTATTTTATTTTATTTTTAAAATAAATATAGATATGTGTGTTCTCCCTCTTATATGAAAATTTAGGGTCCACGAAAAATATTTGGATGCAGATAAGGTACATGTGACATATTGTCTCTCTATCACTCAACACATAAATTAGAAAAAGTTTGCATAAAAAAATGTGCAATATTACCACAAAAAAAATACCACATAACGCCTTCTCCATCTGCACCTAAAAATTTCTCAGGGTCTACACTAACTTCTAAAATAAAATTTCATGATTAATAACATATTTTATTACATTTTCCTGTAGGTTTGAGACAGACGTCCATGTTGGGGGTGGCCAGGGCATCAATGCGCGTGTCAACAGGATGGCGTTTTGTTGGTTTGGTGTCACCGCCAAGCTTATTTTTAAGGAAAATTTACAATTCAGCCCATATTTTTAAAATAAATTTCAAATTAATGATAAAATCTATCATCTTTAATAATTAAAATTATAATTTTTTTATCACTTTATAATTATTTTTTGGTTTTCCAACTGATTCACAATTTTTCCTATTTTAACTTATTCTTATTTTTATTTTTATTTTTTTGTAATGTATTCTTAATTATGAATAATGCAGATATTTAAAATCATATAAATTTTGAGGTATGATTTAGTAATGAAACAACATTTGAGACCCAAAAAAAAAAAAATTACAAAAAGAGAAGAAATTATCTTGCAGATTAATTATTCCATATTCTTGCAAAATCATTTCACACACATGCAATTAGGTCAACCGTGAATAACTGCATTGGCATTGTTTGGGAACTTGGTTTGGGGCTAAAATAGTCACAAAAAACAAAATAGGTTATTTTAGTCACAAAAAACAAAACATTAAATCCAATCCATAATCATTACAATCCTCTCTCACAAAAAAAGTCAAAAAAGTCAAAAAGCCAAAAAGCCCTTCTCAAACCAGGCTAAAATAACCAAGGCTAAAATAGTCAAAAATCCAACCCACTTCCCAAACGGAGGCATTGCCGGATATCTCTTTAACAGGTGATCACTCAGATTGTGTTTAGATATGAATTTAGATAGATTTTTTTTTAACAAGAGAAATTCTGATAAATAAAGGGAAAATTGCCGTTCAGTGGTAATGTTTAAAAAATATTACAATTTTAATTATTAATATTTATAAAATTTATCATCTTTTTTGTTAAATTTTTTTTCTGACATCAACTGTTAAATTATTTTCCCTAAAATAAAAGGTAAATTACTTATCAATCATTACCGATAACATATCATATTATTTGTTACTTTTATTAATATCATTATTCTTAAGATTACAAAATTAATTTATTCTCACCCAGTCTCTGTCACCTCCTCAATTTATCCCACGGTCAATATAATAATAATAATTATTATTATTATTATTTTTTGGTTGGTGGGTAGTGTAGTTGGGATCATTGGTGAACAGCCAAAATAAATTGGGTCTTCCTTTAAATAAAAGGGATGCAGCACAACAAACTCAGGGTTTGTAGACAAGGACGTTTCTATAGTGCAGTGCAGCAAATATTAAGGAACCATTGATCAATTTTAAATTAAGAATTAGATTTTTTATTTTTATTTTTTTATCTTAAATTTGGATTATTAAATATGTTTGACCATTTTAAAAAAAAAAAAAAGGTGCTAAATTTGCTTGTTTTGTGAAAATTTAAACTTGTTCATATTTAAAATCGAGAGATTAATTGGATACCTTAATTTAAAATTAAGAGATTAATTAAAAAAATGCTACTAATCCTGTAATCTTTTTTAAAAATGGTAGGACCTCTTTCTATTGGGAGAGAAATCAAATTCAATTGTATTAACCTGTAGCATGAGTCCCATTCCGATGATATTCAATTTGTAAACCGCTACACGTAAATTGCCCCATAAAAAAACAGATTAATTTGACAATTGTAGTACCAAATTACATCTTTTTTATGACTGATTTATGCATAAAAACTTGCAAAATAAATTACTCAAATCATTGAAATGAAATTCATAGAGACCTTGTATAATATCATTTTGAGTAATTTATTTTGAGTGATCTCTTATTTAAAAAAGAGAGAATATCATTTTGTCTCCCAAACTTTCACGCTTTTTTTAACTCAACTCCCAAACTTTGCATAAAATATCAATTTGCTCTCCATACTTTTAAAATTTTGAGTAATTTGACCCCTACCATTGCATACCTTCTACAATTAAACGGAACTTACTGACATGACACCAAACTTCATTTTACCCTCTAAACTATACCTTAAAAATTAATTAGCCCATCAAATATTTAAAATATATATATATATATATATATATTTAATTAATAAATTTTTATCTCAAAAATTAAAAAAAAATAAATTTTAAATAAAAATAAATTGAGTACTAGTCCGGTTGAGTATTCTTTGGACAGCAATTAAATTTTCAAATTTTTTTTCCCACTCAATTTTGAAATTACTATTTATCGATCAATTCTATTGAAATTAATTTGAAAAGTATATTGGTTACAATTGCACACCCACATAGAGTAATCAAGAAATTTTCAACTTAATAAATTTCTCCAAAATCAACTAGAGATAATTTGAGAGCTATAAAACACAGGTACTGATATAATACGAATATGTCAATACTATGAAATATAAAAAAAAAAGTCGGGTACGGAGACTTCTAAAACACAACCAAAACAACCCACTCCAACCACCTTTGGACTAGAAAGAAAAAAAAGGCTCTCCAGTCACAGAATACCCCACTCCACCCAGCAAAATTCACAATTTCTAAAACAAGATCATAAATCAAGTCAGGTCAGGTAACAAGAGACGAAGCACTCCGAGCAATATATAACTGAAAGATTCTAAATTTGTCGAAAATAAATCATCCCCTCGGCTTTCAACAAATTAGCCAATGTTTTCAGTCTGACTGTCATGAAAGACGAACAACTAAAAACGCGAACCAACTCATCATGAAAAACACTAAACAAGAAAAAAAGAAAATAAATTATAAAAAAAAAGGCTAGGGTCTACAAGAAGAAAAAGAAAAAGAGCTCATGTAAATTGCTGGGGTTAGCATTTGGAATCAACCTCTCTAACCTCCAAATACAGGGCGTAGACAAAGTCATACTCCGAACAAATGTACCATCGATTGGGAAGTGTCTTCACATCACATCTAGTTTCCCCAGTTCAGGTTCGATGAATACACAAGGGACATGTTATGAACGGGTGGGTTAGTGTTATTGTAAGATCCCGAGAACCTGTTAAAAGGGTTGTCGCCATTGTCATCGGATGACTCACTTGAGGCCCCTTGTGATGGAGGACTTGCCGCTGCAACTGGTGCACCAAAATTCAACATATTGGCTGGTGGTGCTGAAGATGGCCCAACTTTTGGTTTCTTCCCATCTGCAATGAAGCTACCGACAATAACCTGGTAGTGCATTAAAAAATTAAATCTAATTAGATTCATAAAACTCTTAAAGCATCAGACATTTGTTGGAGGAATCAATTTGGTGACTTCTAATGTCCACCTATATTTGTTTTTGAAATGCAGATGTGTACATTAGGCTTGTCAATGGATTGTGTTTAACCCGAATCAGATCTGAAATATCCAAATATGTTTAATCCAATCTGAATACCCGATTACATTTGTATCTATCGTATCCAATCTAAACGAAGTGGATTCAAATAAATCCGATCCGATCCAACTATTTATTTGATGGTGATAAAAGACTAGCATGTTTAATTTAATCCACTATGGTGAACTAAAAAGGTGTGAATATCACTTGTGTCCCGAAAAGTGGCAAACATTAGCAGAACCCGTTGACAGGCCTAATGTACATATATGTTCAATCTGACTTACACACTAGAGTTTCTGTTTGACAAACACAAAATTACAATAAATGAAAAGGAAAAGTGGCAAACATTAGCAGAACCAGTAGACAGGCCTAATGTACATATATGTTCAATCTGACTTACACACTAGAGTTTCTGTTTGACAAACACAAAATTACGATAAATGAAAAGGAAAAGTGGCAAACATTAGCAGAACCAAAACCTGTACTGGTGTTGCTGCCATTAGCATCCCCGCAACTCCACCACCTAAAACTCTCCCATCTGACCCTGCCAAGGAGACACTAAGACCACCTGTCCTGCTGCGGCTACCATTACTTTCTGACAGCAAAAAAGAACCTGATAAAGAGATAATTTCAAATCGGCCCTGCAAAAAAAAAATTATTATTACCATTATGCATAGTTGAAGAGGGAAACACATTCATCTTTTGATTAATAAACAAACAAAAAGGAGAAAAAAGAATTCAATACCATTTCTTAAAGTGAGTTGGTGCAGTAAGTAGGGCTAGATGACTACTTTACTACTCGGTACAGAATTGCAAATCATATATCCACATGTAAACTGGTGAAATATGAGGTGCCTTTGATAATATGGTGCAGTCCAAACGTTCAGAGGGAACATGGTTTCGCAGAAGTAAAACAAATAAAGAGAGGGCCAGAACTCAGAAGGGAAAGGTTCTACTTTCCTTCTGAAGCCAGCCAGAGTTTGATTTAGACAAAGCTGATTGAGGACTTCTAACAACTAAACTCAAAATTAAAACGTAAAATAATGTGAACAATTACCTACTACTGTAATATAACAAGTGCCAGCTATAGTAATTTGTGATGCTGCCATTATGGCAGCTAAAATTATATCTTATTTGTAAATACAAACATAAACCATTAGCAAATGACTTAATTTAAAGTAACTTAAAAGGACCAAAAACAACCAATAACACATATATCAAACAAAAATGACTTCTTGATCAGCATGACACCCAAAGTCTCAGTTTTAGGTTTCCAAAATGGGCATCTCTTTTGCAAACAAAAAATAGCCCAGGCATCCCAAATGGAACCTTCCATAGGATTGTCTTTGACAGGCTTTTGGTGCTCAAGTGAGCTCAGTTAGAAGGTCTAATCAGGTCCTTTTATCCAACATCCTTATGCGAATAAAGACTGCTTAGGAAGGTATTCTGTCCACCCCTCCCAGAAAACATAAATGTCATGCTATAGTAGCCTTTCATAGAACTACAACTGTCGAGACTGATGCTCTGTAAAATATTCAAATATATATAAATCTTAGTGAAATCATTACAGTTTGGGTATGTTCACATCCTTCAGTCTCTCTATTTGGGGAATGCAACCTATGCTGCCGGGGTGGTCCCCTAGGGAACTGAAGTGTCCCATCCACTCCAATTGAAACTTTAAATATATTACCCAATTAAGCTCATTAAATTCAGGAAATATAAGCACTTTTCAACTTCAATATCCTTCCTCACCAAAATCTTCATTAAACATATGATCTCTTGGGTGCCCAACATTCCACTCAATATCATCAGAAGATGAAATGGCTATAGTAGCAACCAACAAGAAAGCAAACAAAAACACACTTGTTGAAATATACCAGTATTTAAGATGCAACAAAAAACACTAAATGCATATAAAAAAACTGGAAGGACAAAGAAACATTAAGTGACAAAGATTAACTTATCAACCTACTGACAGTTCTTTAATATAGAAGAATAAGCAATTAAATTAGATGTGAACAAGTGGCCTCTGATTTGTTTGGATGTTCATCAAGTTCAGATCTGCCCGGTTTTTGTTACTGGTTAAATGCAATAGCAGTCCCACCCTAACAGTGGTGGTTTTAGTTGGATAGTCTTCTTCTACTCCTGGGGCAAAGAACTTAATACAACAACAATGACAACATAATAATGACGATAACCAATAATAAAGATGATGATGATGATGACTAGGTATCATTATTATAAATAAATAAATTAAGGGGGGAGGCAACAAAACAAAAACTAAATTATTCACACAAGGATTACCCTTTTTTAATATCTTGGCAATTTCTCTTTTGGAAAAAGGCATTTATAAAATGATCAAGTACTGTTAATTATTAGAGAGACATGGATAAAAATAAATGCCGATCAGTGATAGGTCTAACATCTTTCAGACTTTTCCTGTAGCTGTTGATATAATCTCATCTCATTTGCGGTGGGGAAAACTCAAGCTACATTCAAAACCACATCCTCGTGATACGACACTTGGATGAGGTCTCAATTGAATCAAGTAACTAGTGGAAACTCACTAAAAAGATCAGTTGAGGTGTGACATGGAACTGAATACTATATGCATATGTAGTGTGCTACTTGGGCTACAGCTAACAGTGATATGATCATCATACAATTCATAATTCACATCAGAATTTCTCATTTAAAGAAGAAAAAAAATCATGCGGGCTCCAACAATATCATTTATATATTTTTTTAGTTTTCAATGGTTCAAGTTCAACAACATCAAAACCTGACAATAGAAGCGAGAAGAGGTAATCAACTACGACAGCAGCATGAATCAACAGAAGATGGCCAAGATGTTCCATGTGGAACCTACAGAGCCAGTTAAACCAGAAGACTAGTTCTTTTTAAAAAGGGAGTAATTGATGGTGAACTTTGATAAATGATGAGCCATACAATCAGCACATTCAAATGGTGCAGAAGCTCATTCAATCACTATGGCCTGCAGAATGGATACATACCAAATGACAGCTAGATTCAAATTTGTTTAGGAAATTGACAAGTTTCCTACTTACAGACTTGGATGAGAATAAAGATATTTCGGACTTCTACATGTAATTTTAGTTCTTCATATCGTTTGGTGTGTTCAAATTCTGTTCAAGATTAATCTTACCATTTGCATAACGAAAGTAGCAAATTTGGTGTGTGCAGAGGCAACATCAGATTTTGCAATATCTGTTTTCAGAAATCGAGTTAAATATATATATTTCATTGAAAAGAAAATACCAGAAAAGAAAGCAAATAGATTTTGGGCTACATCACAAACCAAGCTTCACAAAATGCCCAACACGAAAGGTTATTTCATGCTCACAGTTTTTCCCTTTCAATGCGAAAGCAGATCTTTTGATATCGGCATGATTTTTAAGTCATACCAATTGGATTTCTACCAAATCCCATTTCCATGGAAAAATATCCATCATAAACACCATTTAAAAGCAGTAACTGTAAAATTTTATCAAATTTAAACAAATGATAATAATATGAACAAAGTACAACTGAACTTGTCACTGCTTTTGTAAGTAGTATGGAAGGTTTCTGTATACATTGTGTACGTGGGCCGCAACCATTGCCCACCTTTTCTCCACATACTTTAAAAGTAAAAACGTAGAATAAGTAAAAAAACATAAACAGGACATCACAAACCCAATTATGCTAATCATGAACCCAATTATGCTATCCAAAAGACCATGTTCTTCATATTTAGAAATAAATTTAGCTATCAATAGAAATTCCTATGCAGGCTTCTTAAAAAAAAATGCTCCCATATTCCAATCAATATGCATATGCTAGAGAGTCGGATAAAATGAATATATTCAGCATTCTAACTTATTATAAATGGACCTAATGACGACACCAAAATGGTATGCATATCCCACTCTGTACTAACCTCATATGTCACAGTGCCACCAGACATTGCCGGCTGGCGAAGGGTGACATTGCAGATGGCACCATTTGCAGAGAGAATACAAACAGTCCGCGGCCCTTGCTGTGAAAAGGCCAGGATCTTTGATGCTATGTCCTGTAAAACAGAAGGGCACCCATAAAAATTAAAATTAACCATAATCACATTACAATAAATATGCAAATCCGTTAAAACTTAAGTAGGAAATTTTTTATTACAAAAATAAGAAGTGTAAACAACAAGAAATGACCATAATAAAATCCACAACATTATTTAGCAACATCACAAGAACAAATACAAGGTATTTGTTAAAATTGATGTATTATTGATTGATGTATGTTATCTATTACAAATGGTAAGGGGCTCCTTATATAGGAGATGTAGTGGAGTAGGTGGAGTAAGTGGTAATGGTAGGTGTGTAGTAGGTGGTAGTAGGTGGTGGTAGGTGTAGTAGGTGCTGGCCCCTAAATACTATTATACATATCTTAACTAACTTTCAATGGGAATAATTGAAGTTTTAAGTCATTGAAGTACTTCAAAAAATTGCAATTGTTACCCATCTCTTCTCCCAATACTGACACATCATGAACCAGGAGTTCCACCAAACTACTACAAAAACTAATGATGCCAAGGGCAACGAAAAATAAAACAATGAGGAAAATAAAACATGATGGACGCATATGAGGAATTGTTAGTTTCAAAAATCATTTCCCCTCTTTTTCATGATTTATTATCATTTCATAAAATATACTACTCTAATGTTCTTTTAAGTAGAAGGGAAAATACAAAGGAAGCAGTTTTCCATTTCCTTCTCCTTTTCTCCTACCAATTCCAACTTCCAGACTAAGTTTAGTGTAGAAATTTAATGTATAAAGAGAAATGATTGTATTATTGATTGATTATATTGATATATTACAATGATTCCTATATATAGAAGAGATGATGTGGGAAGAGAATAGGTGAGTGTGTAGTAGGTATGGAGTAGGTGAAGTAGGTGAGTGTGTAGTAGGTGGTAGTGATAGGTGTGTAGTAGGTGAATTTTAACAGCCCCCGCAAACTCAACGGGGATAGGAACTAACCAACTTGAGTTTGGAGAGAGTAACAAAACAAGAAAATACATAAAAATAAAAAAGGATAGGAGACACTGTATGGTCGTGTCAGACCATTGGTGAAGACACTGTATGGTGGTGTCATAACGTTGTAGAGGACACTGTATGGGGGTGTCATAACATTGTAGAGGACACTGTATGGTGGTGTCATAACGATGTAGAGGACACCAGATGGCGGTGTCAGACCGATGTAGAAGACAGTTTATGGGGTCATGTCGGACCGTTGTAGCAGACAATGTTGTGACAGTTGTTGTGACAGTTTACAGAGTCTTGTCGGACTCATGAAGGAGCGAACCGGAATCAATGTCGGGACAGTTTACAGAGTCTTGTCGGACCCCTAAAAAGTCGCACCCTCAAAAGGTGTGCCCAATCTGTCAAAAAAGGCGTTCCATCAAAAGGCGTGCCCAATCCATAAAAAGGCGTGCCATCAAAAGGCGTGCCCAATCCATAAAAAGGCGTGCCATCAAAAGACGGGCCATCAAAAGGCGCGCCCATGTTGTCGTCGAGCGCCGAGCGGCGCATGATGCGTGTGTCTGCCTCTTTGTCAGGGTCTTTATAAACTGAGGCGGAGGCTGTGCTTGAGGCAGAAGCGAAGACAAAAACTTTGTGAAAAAACTTCTGAAAAAACTCTTCATTTTCTGAGAGAGATATTCGTTTTCTGAGAGATTGTCTCTAAGAGCTGCAAATCTTGAAACACTCTGTAACACTCGGTTGCCCAAAAAATGGCCTCTTCGTCTCGTAGTCTACTCACTCTCTTTCCAGACCTCAACGAGTCCACAAGAGAAATAACTGGTGCGGTGGCCCCTGAACCTCAACCAAGCGCCCCAGGGTTTGCTCCGTTGAACTTTCCGATGCGGTCTGTGGAGCAAAAAATGGCAGGGCAAACAGATATTGAAGCCAATCAATATACACTGAAGTCATGTGTGGAGACCATGACGGCGGTCACAAACTTGTCGCACCGGCTGCAAAGTAGAACAAATGAGGTGTAGCAGCTAAACGCCCAACTGGCTCTGCTCCAACGCATGTATAAGGATGCGCGAGCAGAGATAAGTGTGCTAAAGGCGAAAAATAAGGAGCTAAAGCAGAAGGCCACCGTGATGTTCCGATTTGGAGGTCCGCCATATGCTGCAGTGGAGGAGCAGGGAGTAGTGAACGTGCTCGGCGGCGTGAAAAACACGGAGGCAGCACCGTCAAGGGCCGCTCAAGACGGAGGCAAGAAGAAGAGACCGGCGGCAGAGTAGAGAAGAAAAAAAAGCCTGCCTGTGAATGTGGTTGTTTGTTTGTATTTTTTTTTTTTATTTTTTTTTTTTTTTTTGGGGTAAAATTGGGATCGGGGTGGATCCCGGAGATGAAAAAAAAATGGTTTGGTGTGCAAAGCTTTATTTTTTTTTTTTTTTTTTTTTTGATTTTTTATTTTTTTTTTTGGTGAAAAATAATAATAATAATAATAATATGGGTATCATGGAGTGGGCGGTGGTACAAAAATATTGTGGAGAAAAAGAGGGAGATGGTGAAAAAAGGAGGCCACTCATGTTATTAAAATAAATTAAGGAATTAAAAAAAGTGGTATTGGTTGGCGATATAAATATATATATATGAAAAAGGAAAAAGGATGAGAGCATTGACGGAGGAACAGGCCCATGTGGCTGGCATGAAGTTGGGTCCATTGTGTTTTCATCATAAGAAGTGAGTGGGTGATAAAATAAAAGAAAAGAAAATAAAAATAAAAAGAAAGTTGGGGTTTGTCACAAACAGTATACGTCTTGGCTCCACTCTGGTCTACATTCCCACATGAATATCCTCTGTTTACTCCAACACAGCATGGCTTCAATGGATTCTCAAACTCTGAAATCCCTGTGTGATTTTGTTGTAAATTCAAAGCAGACAAAAAAGCTGTGTGTAGATCGATGATTTCTGTCCCTTCGCACAAGTCAATGGAGCAAGTAGATCTCGATGAAGCCGAACCAAACCTTGATGTTGAGAGCCAAACAAGACCTTGATATAGCCGAAGGTGTAGATCTCAACGGAGTCGGCGTAGATTTCGTGTGCTCTGATCTTGCGATCCAAGCCAAGACGAACTCGATCTGACCAGATCTGGAAGGACGGTGGGTGATGGGGGAAAGAAGTCGCGATGGTTTTCATTGTCAAAGAAGAATGCGTCATAAGAAAAATGGAGAAGCTTGCATCAACTTCTGGCAGTTTCTACCATGGTTATGACACTTGCTGTAATGGAGTGGCTTGGACACCCATAACCCTTAATTGAGCCACCAACAACACCTAGGGCAGCAAACTTTGGAAGAACATCAAATGGAAATTCTGCCTTCTTCCAGTACTTCGCCATTATTGGTGCTATTTCTTTTTCCATATACTCTCTTACTTTCATCCTGATGGACTGTTCTTCAGGAGTCAATAGGTCATGAAACTGAAAATAGTCCGAAGTGCAAGGAGGAAAGATGGATGCCGGAGTTGCTTGGGGGAAGTCGCGATGGTCGATCTGAGCTCGTCGCGAGGTGTGGTGGCTCGCAACGGGAGCTCGGCGGAGGTGTAGAAGCTCTCCGGCCAGATGACGTTGGTGAACCGAATGTTGCCTCGCCTCGCCACGTGGAGTTGTCGTGGAGCCACCGCTGAAGGGCGGCGACGAACAGTCGAACAGTGAGGAGAGAGAGATAAAACGAGCGAAAATGGGTGAAGATTGAAGATCCTCCAAAGCAATGACTAGCTCTCTCTCTTCTCGATCGAAACCCGAAAAACGAGGTCGTTGAGATCGGGAAAGTGAAGGTATGTGTAGAGAATTTTAGCGGACTAGGTTGAGGTCCGGCGGGCGGCCAAGGCGAGGTTGCCGCCCGCCGGTGAAGCAAAATTACTAGAGTCTTAACCTTGCTCTGATACCATGTAGAAATTTAATGTATAAAGAGAAATGATAAGAAAAAAATCTCCACTAGGATAATAGGTAAACAAGCATATAACTTAAAATAGCGAATAAGAAGTGCACAGGGGATGAAATGACCAGAGTCATCGCAATATAATTCCATGCCACAGGAATAAATACAACAAAACTAAAACAATGGGGTAATATGCATATTTGTTTCTCGAACTTATTCTATGTAACTCAAATTCTTAACTATCTTCCGATGGAAAACGCCAGGATTGCTTGTTGGGTATACCTCCTTAGTGGAGTGTGATACCCAATTTGATTTACCCAAGTATTATTTAATTAAGTTTGGTGTTGGTTGTATTATATAGAGTATATGTAATTTATATATGTATCTGACTTTTGGAGTCACAATGATATATTTACTCAAGCTGTCAGCAGCTAGAATGAGGTATTTCGACACTGCAATTAAAAGACCTTTGCCATGCCTTAATCGTGATTGGTCTGCTTTGGTGGCTATCATCTCATCTTGTCTGATTGCTAATCAAAAAGAAAACAATACATTTAGTATTGTTTTGTGCTGAACGTGGATATGCATTCAGTGGAGTTCATTGAAACCAGTTGCTGTTTTGTATACTCAGTTTTGGGTCCAAGACTTAGTACTCCATATTTGTTCCATCTCCAGTAGCTTTGACGAACTTCCTTCGTTCATTTCCAGTAGCTTCATTCATCAACTTGGTCCATTATTTTGGTGTATTTTACAGCCTGTTTCCAAGATGATTTGTTCAATCATTAGGTGAGGTCTTTTTCCTTGTTATTTGTGATTTAGTTGGAATTCACCTTAAGGGTGGTTGTGAGACCTTTTGTCTCATTTATAAATCATTTGTAAACAGGTTGTTGATAGTGGAATCGGACTACAATCCCATGGATGCACCTCACATTAAAGGAATCCCGTAAAAATTCTTAGTGGCTTTGTTTGATTTATTTTTCAGCATATTTTTTATTACCTTCTATAGCGGTAAAAGCTACCCCTTGGTGACCTGTGGTCACAGGTTCAAGTCGCAGAAATAGCCTCTCCGTTTGCGGGGGTAAGGCTGCATACATCAACCCTTCCCCAGACCCTACTTTAAAGGGAGTTTCGTGCACTGGGTACGCCTTTTTTATATTTTTTATTTCCCTCCACCGATTTACACTCGTGGAAAAATCATGTGCTTTTCCCATCATACATGAATAATTTGTATTATTTATCCATCTATTCTATTACAACCAACACAATTGGCTTCCCAAGATATCATCAGATATTGGTTTAGCTACTATCAATTGAGCTACCTACGAGAAAAAATTACATAAAAAAAAAATTATCATGGTTTCTCACATATGTTAGAAAAGAAAAGAAATGATTGTATTTTCTCAACATCTTGTTTGGATAAACAAGAAAGAAAATGGTGACCAATCTTGTATGATTATACTAGAAAAGAACATAAAGTTGTCTTTTCCTTTCCTTTTATGGACAATTTCAGCATTATCCAATTATTCGTTTCTCGCCAAATCTCGTCAATTTTTGTGAGAAACGGAAAAGTGTTTTTAGTAAGTACTTTCTTTTTCATGTGGCATATATTATAGGACCTCTCAAGTATAGGGTTACAACTTTTCTACACAGAAATCCATATATGACTGGTTCTAAACCACAAAATATGTCAGTGGCACAAGCATTTTGTTTGGTGCAGTGCAGCTTATTGGCATGCTTATAACTAGGGTGTTTGTGGTTCGATTGCTGCTGGAGAACTTTTAATTCGCTATCCGTCCGTCGGATTGGCAAATTGGAAAAAATCAATCCGCATCTGTCTGCCGGGTTGACGATTGCGGATTGAGCGAATTGGCGGATTATGCGAATTGACATAGATGCAAATCTATTTGGCGGTTTAAATTTTTACAAATTTTGAACATAATACAACAATTTATCAACATTTTTTTTAAATAACAATCCAATTCAACATAATCAAAAGATTATCAAATAAACTGTCAAATACCAATAATAAATACATAAAAGAAAACCATACCTTATCAAAACTATTTCATTATTCTTTTTTTTTATTCAAAAACTATTTAATTTGATTTTTTTTTAAATGACAAAATTAAACCTTATATTTTCCACACAAAAATACCAAATATCAGCACTTACCATTTGATAAAAAGATTTTCAAATTGAAAACGCAACAGAATATCTAACCTCTTTTTCAATTGAAAACACAACAAAATGTCTACCATCTTTTTCAATTAAAAATACAAACAAAATATCTAAACAAATTAAAAATATAAAGTCTTAGAAATTACTAGGGGTGCTCGCGGTTTAGCAGTTCGGTTGTAACCAAAGGAATCTTAAACCCGTCATCCATCCAAAACTAAGCGGATTAAAAAAAATTAACCCACAAACGTCTGCTCATCATCACGCATCCGTCCAAAATGTAACGGATCGAAATATTTACTGCTCACCTCTATTTATAACCTTTTTTATTCTGGAAATTTGTGCAATAGTATTTGGTACAGCTTCTGCCTACACCTTAAGACCTCATTTGGCAGCAGCACTTTATAGCCTAAAGGCTAAAAAATCACTAAAAAAAATCAAAAAGTCAACAACCTATACCAAAAAGTCAAAGATTCTCTTTTCTCTCTATTTTTTACACATATTTTCATAAAAAATCAAAAAATCATCCCAAACATACTAATTTTTTTTTACATCATATTTTAGTCAAAAAAGTCAAAATGTTACTTAAAAAGTTTGTTCCCAAACGAGACCTAAAAATAGGTAAAAATAGTTGAAATAAGTTGAAAAGTCTGATTATTGAGAAGCAAGGGGAAGGGTGCAAATCTTAAAAAGATTGTGAAAGCCCACCCAATCATGTGTCTCATTAATATACATGCCCATGCATGAATATTGGATTAAATGACAATTAACCATTATCAACTAAATTCAGTGTCATGATATTGCTCGTCAAAATAAATATATATCTAATCTCATTGACTTCATTGAAGGGAAAGTAAACCTTATATCCTTTTTTATAAATAAATAAATACAAACTACCTCCATTTAATGCAATAATGATCGCTTCACCACTAAATACTTACCACGGCCAATTTAGATACTTTTGCTAAATTGCAGCCTCCTTTGATTAACATTGAATCTTAATTTTCCTTTATAAAATGACAGTACCCATCTATGAAATTGAATATCACAGTATAATATAACAAAAAGTTGCATTACCTCTCCCGCCTTGACCAATATAACGTGTGGCGTAAAACCAACCCCAAATGATCCTGCCCACCAAACAAGAAAACATTAAAGTACATCATTTATCACATTCAATCAAAAAACAAAAAATTAAAAACAAAATGTTAATCAATACAAATCACCAACCTAGAGCATCCAATTGTTTCTTCCCGGACCCAGGCGGCCTCCCTCGACTCCGCTTGGCCGGAGGATCGGGAAGACTGAGTCCCAACACTAGTATCTCCCGGACCCACAACAGAAGACGAAATAGGGGTAACAGGGGCGTGAGTAGTAGGGGTTGGGGCTAAACCTAGAGCAATGTTACCATCAGGAGAGTACTTTCTGGGCCTCCCTCTCTTCTTCCTGGCGGGCTCAATGTTAAACCCAGAAGGCCTCAATGATCCATCACCGTAGTGCTGAGAGTTGAGAGAATCCATGGGCTTGGAAGAGGGCGAAACGACGGAATTGAAGGGAAATCTAGGGTTTTGCATAATTGGCGGCGGCGAAGTGGTGGTGGAGGTGGTGTTGGGTAAGTTGGAATTGAATGAATTGGGTGGTCCGACCATCATTCCCGCCGGTGGTTGTTGTTGTTGTTGTTGATGTTGTTGTGAATCCATTGCAAAGAAAATCAAACAACACTAACCAATATCAAAGAACAGTGGCGAAATCGAACAACACTGAGAGACAGAGAGAGAAGTGAAAGTGAAAGTGAAAATGGGTTTTGCTCTGATGGGTTTTGTTGAAAATGTTACCTACTCGAAACCTACCACTTCGGGGAGAGAGAGAGAGAGAACTGAGAATGAAAATCGGAGGTGAAAATTGGAGGAGGGTTTGAATAGAATTCTAGGGTTTTAACACTTTATTCATTTGTGATGAATATATGCTTGGGTTGATTGTACTTGATGTATATATATGTAGAGAGAGAGAAAGAGAGAGAGAGAGAGATCGGTGGTGTACAAGTGTAGGGCTGTTAGTACCAGTTGAAAACACGTCACCTGCTACAAATGAAGTACTGGAGAGATGTTTGTTTCCAAAACAAAAAATAAAGCACTAGAGAGGTGGTGGACCCTTGTTTCTGAGTAAAAATTCGAGAAAAATGCTTTAGTGATTTCAAAAGTTTTACTATGGCTTGCTTTGTCAAGGTAGCAAACAGTTAATTATTAACTTTTTTTTTAATCAAAAAAATTAATTTTTTTACTTAAATCATTATCTAAAAAGTTAGTTTTTTTATTAAAAAATTTAAAAATTAACTTTTTACTAACTTCTCAAATATCACGGTAAAACTCTCATAATGTGAAATGTGATAAAAAATTTGGGGTCTTTAAAAAATTCAACACTTCTTATTTAATGTGATAAAGTTGAATAAACTTTATTCACAATAATATATGTGTGGGTGATTTTCCGACCACACTGCCCGCTTAGTAACCAGCTGAAGAGCACTGGCAGAATAGATGGCACCTGACGGACCTGCAACAGAAATATAAGAATCCCGCGGTGGTTTCGACCACCCGGGGGCACTCCGACGATCAAGTCAGTATATCTCTCAAAGATAAATCAACTACTAAACTCACAAGCTTGAGTATTAAAAGCATACCTTAGACCCATGGGGGTGCCTCTCTTTTATAGCCAATCCAATCCTAGTCCCAATAGGAGCCTGGCCCTAATGGACTTAGGATTACTGCTAATCTGGGACTCCCAGTGGGATTAGGATAAACTCTCTAAGAGTCTTATCTTTGCCCAAACTGGAGTCTTCTCCCAATCTAGGACTCTTGTCCATATCCAAGTTGAGTTCCCTCTTCATTCTAGGACTCTTGTCCCTTATCCGCTTATCTCGGATTCCGATATCTTCGGAGGCAACCTCGGCCTAGCCGAGATCACCTCGGCGTCACGATCAGGATACGTGGCACCTCGGCTGACACATCGGCGTCACCTTGCCACGTGTTGGTACTCAGAAAATATATCCCCACAATATAGATTGAATTTTTTTTGATAATTTTATTTTATTTTTTAAGATAAAATTGTTGTTAAAAAATTGATACGTTTAGTAAATATTAAAAATAATAGTGGTTTATTTGTTATTAGAAAAAGTTAGGTAAGTCTATATTTTTTTCTTTTTTCAATTCTTTTGTTTTTAGCGATGTTTTTATATTTTTTAGATGCTTCTACGTTTGAATAACTCAAAAAGTAAATGTTTTAAATAATTTTTCTAAAGACCAAAAAAAAAAAAAAGGGATAAAAATGCGATTTGTTTAGCAACTAATCAACAAAGATTAATTTTATTAACAACGTTCTTTTTTTCATCAATAAGTAATTTTTTGCCATGCTTTTGTAATTTTTTTAATGTTTCCATGTCATGTTCAATTATTTTTCGCTCCCTTGTGTTTGTTCAATAAGTATTTTTTTTTATGGTACAAGAGTTAAAATATATTCATGGTACAATAATATTTTCACGTCAGTGTCGCTAAAAATTTATTCAACAATAACAATATGTTTAAAAAATACATATAAGTAAAATTTTTAACATTGTTTTTGAATTTAAATAGCCATTTGAAAAGGAAAAGGAAAAGAAAAATGAAAAAAAAAATTAGCATTTATTTTATTAACATTTCACTTACAATTTTTTTTTTTTTTTGAGTCTAAATTGTTAATATATTCGTAGTTCAAACCTGACTTACACTGTTTAGTTGAAAATTTTGAAAGTAAATTTTAAAAAATATATATATATATATAATTAAATAAAATATAAATATATTTTATTCGTATATATAATGTTAGGAATCAGATATTCAACCAAACTAAAATCAAAAGCACCATGATGACAAACTCAGAGTCTTAGGAGGAGAAGACCACCAACCTTGCTATATATGTTGGACGACCAACCATTTTGATAGGGACTTCTTTAATTTTTTTTTTTTTTGTTACAGGAAAATTCTTCTTATCCTCCCGCAAGTTCAAGGTAGCGCCCCTTACAGAGATCACCAAGGTATCTTATTAGCCGTTCCGAGTGAGGAAACTATAACCTGGGAACTTGCCCCGACCTCTCAAGACAAACTCCGCTTAAGTCATGACTCACACAGTGGGGGAGCATTGAACCCATACCAAGTGCTGACTAGACAACTTGAAATCCAACCTGACTCACACAACGGAGGAGCATTGAACCCATACCAAGTGCTGACTAGACAACTTAAAATCCAACTTCCTAACCAACAATGCTTCGCCCAAGAGATTGGCTCAAAGGGAGAATTGAACTTGTAACCTTGAGACTTAAACCCCAAGGCCTTACCACAATGCTACAGCCCCTTGGGTTTTCTTTAATTAATTAACAATAAAACTGAGTCAAGACAAAACCAGAGAAATTCTAGAGTTCAGATGAATGCGTTATAGAAGAAACCTATGTTGATCATATTTTTAGGTAAATTTATCTCTTGGGTATAATCCACAAGGCAGTGGCTTTGGTTCAGTCCAAGATCAAATTGGACCGTGCTGTTGGATCCGTGGGGGTCCACCACAGGTCCCGTTTTGATAATCCGAACCGTTCAAAGTGTACAACTCGTCGAATACTACTATATGCCTGTAAAAATCACGTTGATCGAATATCGATAGCTATGTGAACAACACAGTTTTTTATCAACCATTAATTGTTTCACCGTCTATTTTTTTTATACAAAACTGATTTAATCAGATAGCTATTGATATCCGATCAACGTGATTTTTTACAAGCATGTAATACTCGACGAGTTCTACACATTCAACAGTTCGGATTATCAAAATGGGCCCAAAAAATGAGCCCCATGAGACGAACTGAACGGGTCCGGTCTTGATCTCAACTTGAGACAAGCTGGACCCAATCCACAATTACACTAATATTCAACTAAACAAAACTCTAATCTTTAATCATGGTGTGATAATTGGGACTATTGCCAGAGCTAGCTTCATCTGCTGTACTTTTCAGAACATTAGGTAGTTAATTTTCTTGGGGAAAAACACGAGGCTTAAAATAGAATGGAAATATATAAAATAAAATAAAAAATTGAGATGGTCCCAAACCCAGAGGGAAACAACAACATTCACGCACAAATGTGACAAAACATATATAATTGTGCCAAAATCTGATAGAATACAATTTAAGTCCTAATGGAAGTTCTAACCTTTAGAATTCATCATCAAAACAATGTTTGGACACCACAAATAATTTCTATCAACACACACAAAAACAATCTACGAGAAGATGTAAAAGCCTCGAATAACCCAAGAACCAGATGCTGAGCAGCGTCTTCTCAGTGCAGGTAATATAGGCCTTTTATACCTCACCTCATTCACAAACCAATTGTGTGTGATAATTTCTTGTACCCAAACACGTTCCTCCACCTCTCCATGCGAGAGAAGTCCTTGGAGAAATTTCACAGCCTCGAATTGTTTCTAGCACCTAATCTCGTATGAACCGGCTTTGGTAATATAACGGACCCACTCAAGTGTACTGTACACACTCTTTTCCCATACCTGCAGACGAACCTCAAATTGTTTCTAGCACCTAATCTCATACGAACCGGCTTTGGTAATATAACGGACCCACTCAACTGTATTGTACCCACTCTTTTCCCATACCTGCAGACAAACGATTATGTGAAAAAACTGCTTTTCTACAAAATGGAATCAGAATCCTTAAAATGGAAATTGGCGTACCTTAAGAAAACGAACACGTAATCCAGATGCTGTAAACATAGGAACCTGCAAAAACACAAACATCATTGATTCTCCAGTAAAAATATGTTAATATATAGCATGTGGTTTATAACATTGCGTAGTTGCTCAAGTTCCCTTGTCTTGCCTATAGAGGGAAAAAATTCTTTTGTTTTTGGCAAGAAGTAACAATTAAGGCACCTTGAACTACATCCATGAAAAAAGTGGACCAATACTAAATACAATCATTTTGACGAATTAGGGACGGAAACATTTTAGGCACCTGGAATTCCATCTGAATTGGTGGCCTGGTCCAAGACTTCTTTTCTGCAATCGTTGAAATCAACTCTACTTCTGCACTTAAGGTTGGCTCAGTTTGTCCAGGAAATTTCCTTATCCTACAATATTTCAAACAATTAGATGAACACTACCACTTAAAATGTCCAATGATTTTTATTTTTATTTTAATAAAAGCCATGGTAAAAATGCTAAGTCAGATACCAATGGATGCTTCTAAAAATATAAAGACCATATCATTCAAGGAAGAGTATTTACCATGGCATCTACCAAATAAAGGATATCAATACATGTATGAGTTATGACTCTGCCAAAAAAAGATAGCAATGGAATGATAATTTACTTCAAATACTCACTTCCACACCAAGCAATCAATAGCTGCATTGTATTTAGCTCGACCTGATGTCACTTGAAAACTTGTTTTTGCTGTTTGCTTTGGTACTGGAATCTTTATAACAACTCCGAGCGCAAACATTTTCGCACCAAAGACGCTCTTTACCTGAAAATAAAATCAGTGAGGTAAATAAATGGTAATCAATAAAAAAGCGTGTGCTTCAAAACGGAGACAACAAACCTTAACATTAACTTCCATGCGTGTTCGACCGAGTTCCTTAATTGTTGGCAACACCCGGAATGGAAGATTTACACCCTCAGTAATACGATACCTGTGGAAAAGATGTATATAGTCATTGATGTGAGCACTAATATTTCATAACATGAAATATATAGCAAAAGAGAATCTAATTCCAAACAAGTAATATGCACGAATGGTGCTGAAAGGAAATAGTGACAGATGGTTGATAATACCCAAAAAAAAAAAAAAAACCACCCCAAAGAAGCATATATATATATAAGCCCTGTGCAAAGCATAGAAGTTTTGCAAATCCTATTAAAATGTTTTATTAAAGAGATTCGTAATTATTGCATGATAACTGTTCCTTATGTTTCAACACTAATTCTATAACAAATATACTAAATTACATTCCAATGATGCTCTGCACAGAAGAAAAGGTGGCTCATGTATTGATGCAAGGAAATGCTGGCAACAGTAAGAAAATATTAGACCCCTAGTGGGGAAGTATAAAAGGGAATGATGATGTATAGCATAAGGCACATGGTCTTTATCCCTTTCTCCTTTATTTTTTTTCCCCTTTAGCTTTATTTCCTTCTTTTGATGTGTGTATATGAGAGTAAAAGTAAGTGAAGTTCAACACAATGTCAGATATTGAAAATTCAAATCCACTTACATAACCTACGTCTTGTTCATGGTCACAGGTTCTACCCAGGGTCACAGGTTCTGTATTTTTATTTTTATTTTTACAATACATTAAATTAAGGCCTTGTTTGTCATCCCCTAAAAAAGCCAAAAAGCCAAAAAGTCACTATCCTATTTAAGTCGCATCACCTCTCTACCATATCACTTCAAATCCAACCCATATTTCACAAAAAATCAAAAAGTACACTTATTTAGATCATTCCTAACAACCCCTAAATAACAATAACCAAGATAGTTCATAATTGAAAAGGAGACTGTAAGCTTACTTCATCAATTCGAATTCACCATCTGGTGGCACAAAACTAACAGTCTTTTCTGAGTTAAACCTTGTCAGATTTACACATTGATGGAAAGTAACATCATCGAGCTCTATAGTTTTCCCACTGCACAAGGTAACATGGGCAAAGATTGGGTTACAGAAAAGGCAAAAGGAATCCATCAAGCAGATACACAAATTAAAATCGCATGCTCAGCCAACCACTTAATCAACATGGGCAAACAACATGCAATGCTCAATACAACACCAAAACAGCTACAATAAAAGAATCAAGCTTTTTTCTGGGTTTCTATAAAACTGCAAATTCAAAAAAATTAAAAATAATTGAAGCATTGTCATCTAACATATGAACTAAAAAGTTCAAAAACATTCTCTCCTAGGAGGTGATAGACGACAGTTTCTCAAAACAAATTAAAAATATATATATATATTAACAAACCCAATTAGGCAATTTAATTTTACTTCGAACATCTGTAAATTATTAAATATATCCCTCAATACATTTAAGAAAGCATGCAAAGAATATGTGGGAACAACTTTGGGAACATGGATTCACAACATACCTAAATAAGGAACTCAGACCAGAATCATTCGTAATAAAACTCGATAAATAAAAAGTAAGAAATAAAATGACACATTACAGGATGACAAGAAGGAAGCATGAGTATGCTTAAATGCCAAAATAAGTGTACAGACAAATGAATATGGGAGGGGAGTACGCAAAAAAGGATGCCTTCGGAAGTTACCTCTTAGTAGGACGTGATTTAATTTGCGACTCTTTCTCAAGGCCAATTTTATCATTTAAACCCAACTTCAAATCAGGCATTCCAGAAAGAAAGCACTTCATCAGAATTTTCCCAGTAACATCACAACGCAAAACACTACCTATAATTACCAAATGTGTATGAGTGACCAAAGTAGGAGTACATCAACCAAAATCCCAGAATATAACCTTTCACACCTTTTGACGACATAAGAAGATTGACACTTTCCACAATATCCAGAAAGACCTGTAAAGAGACATAAGCGTTATAACCCAGCAAGATGGTCATATTCACCAGAAAGGAGATCGGAGAGAGAAATGAAATTACCTCATTCTTTTTATAAACAAGACCCTCTCTACGCCAGCCAACAGCACCTGTAACTTGTAAGGTTGCATTAGGGACTGGTTTATCTGCAGGCTAATTTTTCCCCATATGGCACCAAAAGTCAGAAAAAAATCCTATATATAATATTCACAAAAAAGAAGATAGAGACATTTCATTTTTCTGAGAGAACAAACTTTCAATATCGGTAAAAAAACCAGTATCTAAAACCATTGCTGGAGAATGTCACAACGTAATCACTTTTCACACTATTTGCTAAAAATCAAAACTAAAAACACATCTAACCTTGGATGAGAATGGTGAGCGTACTCCTTCCTGAGTGATGTAAAGCTTCAGAATTTCTGGAGAAAGATTTTGGGGATAACCGAAGTCCATGATCTCTGCAATTTTGGACAAAAGTATCAAGGATTAATGCAGATAGATAGTGACAGAGATTCTGCATGTGAAAATTTCTTCAGCCTTGTAGTTGTCTCATAGACAATAATGCCTATGCTTGTGGAGGTGGCTAAGAAGAAAAACCCAATCTAGCACACAGTAAGCATTTCATAAGTCAAAAAATAAGACAGTTCAGATCAAAAATGAAGAGTGTAGACACCAGAAAAAGTTTCATGTGTCAGCTATACATAACGTGCAACAAGAGCAATGATAGAAGCCAATTAACCAAACAACGACGTGCTTGTTTATGCAATTGTATCAACACAAATGCATGTGATTAGACTGACTCCAATGGTACTAAAAGTATCTTATTAAGAATATATTCACAAAGGGGCACACATGAGAAACAAATGAAAATCCACGAACTTGTTTTTATGATTCTGACAGTCTCGAAGGCAGGGCAATGTTATATTGAAAGAACTGCTCCAACACTTATCCAAAGTTCGTGACACAACTTGATCGATGCTAGCAAATGCTTAAACTTCCAGCCACTTATCTGATAGATGTAATGTATAGTTTTTATCTCGAGTCTTCCATACCTCAAGGGATTAGCCTTTTTCTCCTTGTTAATGTATACTCCTTGTGCATTTTACAACTTCTTTTAAAATTCCAATTAGCTTTTAACGGACACACAACAAATACACTGAGTCAAGCACTAAGAACAGTGGATGCATAACATACCACATGGTAACAGCATAGACCTGTATCCAAATAATGAATTTTTTTATAAAGGTAAAAATATAATTCTAAATAATTGGAAAGAGCTGTCCAATGCAACTTAAAATACACTCAAAATTGTATACTCTTCAAATGGCATACCATCCAACAGCTCATAAATCAAAACGAAATTATTACGAATAGCATCTTCGTCAAAAGCCCCACCAAAATATGATTTGAACAGATGAACAGCCTGCATAAAAACAAATTGTACAAATATCAATAACTAATGAAGACAAATTAATATCCTTAGGTGATTAAGATGTATTCAAAGTAAAATATTTGGAATTAAAAAAATAAAGACAGAAATTTAGAGCAAAGACAGAGACTACAAATTGCACTGTAGGCATATAAAGGAGTGGAATGCAGTCTGGCTAGGTTTTAGGATCAAATTTTGCAAAGGAAATCAGATGTAATAAATATGTATAAAAAAACAAGGTTCCAATTTATTCATATTGGTGTGCTAATAAAGGAAGTTAGGTGCCTATGCGAGCACAAAATTTCCTGCTTGTTGCTAAAGATCTGGATTCTAAACTAAAAAATAAAGCCAAATCCATCAATCAAAAAGCATAAGCAGCAAGAAAATGCTGACTACCTCAACAACAAACTTGAATGCACATGCTACATTAGCATTGCTGCTGACAACAATCACAATATAGACATTGCTAATTCTCATGTAAAAGAAAGAACAGCCTCCAATCTGCCGCACAGGACATGTACCGAGTTCTTTTGTTTGCATTATATGCGTTCGAAAGGCATCCACCATATTTCCCCTGGATAAATTATTGGAGTCAATAAACAAAAAATAAAAATAAAAAATTACACAAAATTAAGCCATAAAGTGAAATTCTTTATCATATAACACGCAGCTATTATTGTATCAAGACAATAGAATTAATGAAATTAAGTTCAAAAGATCATAAGGAAAATGACAATTGACATTTATGGACACAATGAAACACAAGACGCAATTCTAATCTAATGCTTTATAAACATAAAGAATAACTTGATACTTGAGAACAAAATGGAAGCACACTTCGGGCCCGGGGGGGGGGGGGTTGGGGGGAGATATCCATCCCGAGATAGTCACAACTAAACATATACATAGATGATAGAACAGAAGCTGTAACCCATTATAAAACCACGTTTTTTTCTTAAATGATAGCGATGCTAAGGATCTCTATTAATAAAAAAACGCATTGAGACAGCTTCTGTTCAAGGGTTTTCTCTCAGTTCGATAGCCCAAGGAATTATTAGCACCTAAGAGATTTCGATCTCAACCTTGGAGGGAGAACACCCCCAAGACCCAAGGTCTTGCCACCCTTCATGGGTTGCAAATTTTATTATTCAGATTAGATTCCAATGGCCATTCTATTCAACAAAATTGATAGATTTTTTAATCGTACAACTAATAACACAAAACATACATATAATTTGAATTATATATTTTCATATTGCAAAACAAACGTAGACAATATAAAATTACGTATCTCACTAATCGAGCTAAATAACTAATCTTACACTAATTTCATGGATTGTTAATCCCCTCACTATTAATCCTGCAAATCAAACATACCCAAATTTGTATGAAGAATGACACAAATGCATTGAGACTTATCATTTAAAACAAAGTGAACTACAAATATGCCACTAAATCACACCATTTCTGTACATAAAAAAACTGTAATAGTATTTTCTTTTAAATATAGAATTTGAAAACATATAAACCTTGAACTTTCTCAGCATATAAAATTTATAGTTTTCACCACAATTTGAAATCTTAAGTTCTTCTTCATAGGTAATTCATACATTTCAAGCATATAAACCTATAATTGAATAAATATACATATACATATATATATATATATAGAGAGAGAGAGAGAGAGGAGCTGACCCAACGTCGTCGCGGTAGAGGCGATTGATGAGGACATCGCCGCGGAGATTCAAGAAGTATATGGCGGAAGCAGCCACCGGCATGGTCTCCGATCCAGTGGATCCAATTTTCAGAATGCTGAGGCCGATCGAAAACAGATCAACTCGGATCTAGAGTTTTGCCTTGCAGATTCGACGGCCAATAGAGACCTGCCTTCGTTCGATTTTGTGGTCTCGCGATTCAGAGCTTTGCAATGAATACGAAGAAAATACTACTCTGTTTCTCTGTGAAATGAAGGTAGAGAGAGAGAGACAGAGAACTTTCAAGTCGGAAATTTTTTGATCTTGTAGTACGGGGTGTGCGCACGTGCGTCATTTGTAACCCGCTTTGATTTTTTTGATTTTTTTGGAAAATGCTTTTTTTTTTTTGGTGAACAGGAAATGCTTTTTCCCCCACATTTTTTTTCTTTTGTAAAAAAAAAATCAAAAATGTTAGACGCTCAGAGTTTTATTAAATTTTTTATCAAATATTCATATGGGTTTTATGTGAGTGTTGACCCATATCTGTATGAATATTTGATAATAAAAAAAAATGATATTCTTATACAAATAATCGAAATTAATGAATTATACAAAAAAAAAAATCAAAAAATATCTTTTCACATTTTTTTTGATAAAAAGTCAAAATTTATCCAAATTAATTTTTGTCCACCTCATATTTTACTTAAAAAGTTACTAGAATAGTTTATTTTTCAAAACAATCCTAATTAGTGTGTTTAGTTTGAGCTTTCTGGATTAAGTTTTTGAAAATGAGTTTTTTAATTTTCGTATTATTTTGTTTTTAGTGAATATTTTTTAAATTTTAAACATTTTTTTTACTTTTTTAGATGTACTTTAGTTAGATGTATTTAAAAAGTAAAAAATTTGTGAAAAAATATTTTAAAAAATTAATAAATACATAAAAATATGAAAAATGTATTGAATTCTTATATTTTTTTTTATTTTTGGTATTTAGTGAATTTTTAAAAGATTTTTTTTACAATTTTTTTACTTTTTAAGTGTATTTATGTTAGGTGTGTCTAAAAAGTAAAAAAATTACTTAAAATATTAAAAAAAAAATCAGTAAAAACAAACAAATAGGAAAAATTAAAAAGTAAAATTTTTTGAAAAGTATTTTCTGAAAAATAAAAACAAACAAGCTGAATATTGTTTAGCGTCGTTTTTATAATAAAAATATATAATTATTAATTTTTTTTTTACAAATTTTATAAAAAACATGAATATAAAGATACTCATCTTATTTATTATTATTTTAAAAATTATTAGGTTTGTTTGCTTAAATTTTGAGATGAAATGTCTTACATGAAGTCAAAAGTTTAGACGGCGATGAAATTTCGAGATATTGACCATAGTTATTTAAGAACGATAAATGGACATATATGGATTGAATCCGAGATATTGACCATAGTTATTTAAGAACGATAAATGGACATATATGGATTGAATCCTACCCCTACCCGTTCAGTGATAATTACCACACCTCCTAGTTAACCCTGCCCACCTACTTAGCTTCCGTTTGAAAAGTGAGTTGTCTTTTTAATTTTTTAATTTTTTTTGACTATATGAGTCTGGACTTAAAAACTTAGTTTGGGAAGGACTTTTAACTTTTTGACTTTTTTTAATTTTTTTGTAAGAGAAGAGTGTAATGATTATGAGGTTGGATAGGATGTTTTGTCTGTTGTGGCTCATGAGCCTATTCTATCTTTTATGGCTCATTGAGCCAAAAAAGCCCAATGAGCCCTTGCCAAACCAACCCTTACTAGTCAGTTTTTTTATTCTCACCCACTTCCGCTTAATGTAATTTTGTCTCTGATTATCTTGGCTTCTTTTAATTTTACAAGAAAAAATAAAAAATTAATATTGAAGTCAATTCGCTAATTGTTGTCATAAAAAAAGATAGATAATTTATTTTTTAAAATAAATTTTTTGTGACAAATATAATTGTGAGAGAGATTTCATAAGCTGGCTTTGGACCGTGGTAATGATCGGGCTAAAATTGGTCCGAGCATATTTGGGCTGAGCTAGGCTGGGACAATCCAGGTGCAGTGCGCTCGGTTAAAGCCCGGGTCCGATTTGGCCGGGATAACTTCTCTGCTAGCTCAGTTCGCGTTGTTTGCTCGTTGAGATCGACATGCAAAATCCTCCGCAGACCACCCAACCGAGCAACTGCTCAGTCATTACGGCGGGCTGCTATGCTCGGTCACAACGAAGCTCGGCGAGTGGCGCTGTTGGACTCGTTACGTAGCATGGTCATACAAGGCCGAGGTGATGCCGCCGGGCTGCCCGTTCCCGCTAATGTCGTCCAGCGGTTTGATTAGGTGGTGTTTAGCTGGATTTGCACTGACAGATGAGAGAGCAACTCCACGTGTCAATAGATGAATGGGTGCAGAAGTGAACGCAGAAAGTATATAAACATGACTGCGCCCCCTATGCTAGGCATGGAAATTCATCTGGTGAGAGAAACTCTCTTCCTCTCTCTCTCTGTCTCTGAGTGTGTACTAACTTGACCGTCGGAGGGGTTTTCCGGCAACACACCGCCGGGTAGCTCACCATCGTTGTACTCGCAGGTTAATCGGATCGAAGCGGAGCTTGGACGCAAGGAATATAGGCAGTACCGAATATTTGCCCCCCGTACAATTGACGCCGTCTGTGGGAAGTCGACAAACAAAACCTTGTCCTCCAACCTTCTCCGATCATCTTTTATGCGCGAACAACAACAACATTCCGTTACTCGTCATCGACGGCATCACGCCAAAGTCCGTTTGTCACAGAGATGGCCTGTCCGCCATTCCGACAGTGGCTGATTTGAAGACCCCCGCACAAGGACTTCCTAGGGATGTGCGAGACAAGCAGACAAGCGCCCAAGGAGTTTTGGGCGCTTTGTCATTCCAAAAGAGTGTCGCTGACGGCGAGATTCACACACTCAACACTTGGAAGACAAGCTGAGAGACCAAGATACCATCATCAAGAAAATGGCGACGGAGATGGAGGCCATGAGATGCCAAATGAAGGGAAAGGGCATTACTGGAGTGGGAAACCACAATGAGCATGCCTATTCCCGCCGTTCCAGTAGTCTTAATAGACGTCGCACCCCTTCGCTTTCCGTCACGAGAAGTTTCAGAGCTGGAGACTACATAGCACCGGCGACAATATCTCGTACGCAGGACAGTAGTTACCACCCCTCACGCCCGATGACGGCGTCGAGGTATTCTCGCTCTGACCATTCAAAAGACTTAAGGGATGTGTTGGAGGAGCACGCTCGCCAGCAGGAGGCGCAGAGGGTGCTTGCACTGCAACGCCTGGTCCCTAGAGGGCGAGCCAGTGAAAGGGACGCCATGCCACAACTACGCTTGGCGGCACGCGCGCCACCAGACAGAGAGTTGGCAAGGCTGAGTGCCACCCCTTTTTCCGTAGAGATCGAGAACACATCGCTCCCCTCCCGGGTTCCGTCAACCAAAGTTTACGTTCTATGACGGAAAGACTGATCCATATATGCTCATAAGTCACTTCCGGCAGGTTATAGCTGGGCACAGGCGAAACGATGCGCTCATGTGCTTTGTTTTTCCATCGAGTTTGGGTGAGTTGGGCCTAAAATGGTTCGAGAGGCTGCCGGAGGAGAGCATCGAGGGGTGGCAACAGTTGGCAGAGGCATTTGTCGCCAAATTTAAGACAAATGCTAAAATGCCCAAGGAAATTGACCATCTTTTGAGAGTAAAGATAGAGCTAGACGACTCTTTGAAGGCGTATAACACTAAGTATTGGGAGACTTTCAACGAGATCCTTAATTGCCCGACCAACCTTGCAATAACTCAGTATAAGCGCAGTCTTCCAATTGGACATCGACTGAGAGACTCGCTCATAATGAATCAACCGTCAACCATGGAATTGCTCATGCAACACATTAATGAGCACATCCGAGTCGAAGACAATGCAGCCACAGCTACCATGACAACAAGTCCGATAGTAGAGAATAAGAGAGTAGTGCGAAAGGTTCACGCAGTCGAATAAAATGATTACCATGCAAACCACCATGGAAGAGATATAGGGAGTTCGGTTTTTGGAAGACGTCTGTAAGAAGGCCGAGGAAAATGGGCATAAAACTTGCGGAATGTAAATGGCCGATCCATTTTCAGAACATCGAACTCTGCCAATCTAAAGTTTTGTTCTTAGTTCTATTTTTGTAACCCTTTTTGCCATTGGCACAATGAAACAAGTAGACCATTTTCTTGAGAATTGTTGTATTTTTGTCTCGCCAAGCGGATTTAGTGCGGTCCAAGGGGCAACTAGCAATCATTTTGACGGAAAGATCTAAATTCCTTGCAGGGCGGATTTTGCTCAGCATGAGATTTGTTGATGGTTGTGATCAACTTTGGAATTCTTTGTCGGACGGATTTTGCTTGGCAAGAGGTTTGTTGACGATTTTATCAACTCTGGAATTCCTTGCCGGATGAATTTTCCTCGGCAAGAGATTTATTGATGGTTTTAATCAACTTTAGAATTCCTCGCTGAGCTGATCTTGTTCGCCAAGAAGAAAGTTGCGGAGCTGACCTTGCTCGCCGACCTTGGAGTTTCTTTCCGAGCTGATCTTGCTCGCCAAGAAGAAAGTCGTCGAGCTGACCTTGCACGCCAACGTTTGAGTTCCTTGCCAAGCTGATCTTACTTGCCAAGAAACAAGTCGCCGAGTTGACCTTGCTCGCCGACCTTGTAGTTCTTTACCGAGCAGATCTTGCTCGTCAAGAAGAAAGTCACCGAGCTGACCTTGCTCGCCGACCTTGGAGTTCCTTGCCAAGATGATCTTGCTCACCAAGAAGTAAGCCGCCGAGTAGACCATACTCGCTGACCATGGAGTTTTTTGTCGAGTTGATCTTGCTCGCCAAGAAACAAGTCGTCGAGCGGACACTGTCTGCCGACCTTTGAGTTGTTTGCCGAGCTGATCTTGCTTGCTAAGAAGCAAGTCGCCGAGCTGACATTGCTCGCCGACCTTGGAGTTCCTTGCCGAGCTGATCTTGTTCGTCAAAAAGTAAGTCGCCGAGGGGACCTTGCTCATCGATCATGGAGTTCCTTGTCGAGCTGATCTTGCTCGCCAAGAAGCAAATTGCGGAGCGGACCTTGCCCGCCAACCTTTGAGTTTTTTGCCGAGCTGATCTTGCTCGCCAAGAAGCAAGTCGCCGAGCTAACCTTGCTCGCCGACCTTGGAGTTCCTTGCCGAGCTGATCTTGCTCGCTAAGAAGGAAGTCACCGAGCGGACCTTGTTCGTCCACCATGGAGTTTCTTACCGAGCTAATCTT